TGAATCTGAATCAACTCTACAAAACCAAGAGCAACTCTGCTTCAGGTTATTGTGAGGAAGAGGCCACCTGGCAAAGAAATAGGGGCGGTCCTTGTTCTAAGGAGCATAGAACTGGGACTTTTTCTTTCTTTCTTTCTTGTTTCTTTTTGTCTTTTTAATTTTTTATTAATTATAATGAAAGGTTACAGAGATTTTGGATTTCCATTCATTCACTGTTGCACTTTTCTCCCTGCCCATCCCTCCCCGCCCCATTCTCTCTTCTCTTTGAAAAGTAAAAGAAAAATTCATTGTTATACAATCCCTCCCCCCCAAGTCCACTCCACTATGCAGCCTTCATTCTGGACTCCTGTCATGACAATAATACCTAATCAAATATCCCTTTTAAACAGTTCTCTCCCTCATTTGTTTCAATGCGGCACACATTATTTAACCCCTCTTTCTCAGTCTCCCCCCAACAGAACTGGGTCTTTTTTTAAGAACTGTGACTTTTCACCTATTTTCTCCTACTAGGACATACATGGACACAGATAGGCTTCTAAAAGAATAACAGCAATAACAAAATCTCTCCTAGAAGAAGGGGAGCCAGTGTGTTCCTTAGAAACAAGGACGATGAGGCTTTGCCTCATATACGTTGGGCATATTTCAGGAGAAGTCAGTCTCTGGAAAAAGAAGGAGATGTGATTGACCCCGTGACCACAACAATGGGTGTCAACGTAGCTGAGTGTGTTGAGAATGGTGCAGGTTTACGCAGGGATTCATTCTGTTGTACACGGGATCTCTATACATCAGAGTTGACTCTTTGTTGTTGTATAAGGGCACACAATAGCCAAAACTTCTATGAAACTTAGAGAGTTCTGGTGGTTTAGCAGGTAAAGAGTTCACTAGCAAAGACAGGCGGGTAGTTTGAATCCACCAGCTGCTCCTTGGGAGAAAGATGGGCGATCTCCTCCCGTGTGATTCACAGTGCTCAGCCATGAGTTGGCTCCTGCTCCATGGCACATAACAATATCCCTGTGCGCCCAAAGGCAGGATCAAAATGTGGTGATAAAATTCTGCAGGGACCCGATACACCATGTGTTCTAATGAACATAGTCATTATGAAGGAAGATGCAGTGTTGGTATTGACGGTTGTTGACAAGCAGTCTCATTTCTGTGCATAAAGAAAGAATATTGTTGTTGGGGTTTTTTTCTTATTAAATCTTTTTATTCATTAGTTTTCGTATCAGTTCACCATTTAAACGAGACATTGCAAGTTGTATCAGCTAGCTTCTAATTTGGACATGGCACCAATATTTCCCATACAACCGGAAGAAAGACCACATATTCCTGGCTATTCCATTGGACAGGCTCTGTATGCTTCTTTGGATTCAACAGTCATGATCTTGTTTGAGATAAGCATGTGAACACAGGGCCAGATTTTGTTAGTTTCTGTCCCAGAAAACTGATGGGGCACACCTCGGCGCTTGTATAAATCAATGACTGGTTTTATCACTACTTTGTAATGTCTTAGCCGGGCAGCAACTGCTTCAGGTTTATCATCTTCCTGCTGGACTAATGGTTCACCAGTGATGTCATCAATGCCATCCATGCACATGAGGTGGATTGAACTCCAGGCTGTATACTCTCCCACTAGGAGGGTGAATCCAACGTCTGCTGAGACTTTGGGTGTTTCAAATGGAATATGCAAAGAGATCACTAGATCAGCTCACAGATTCCATCCAGGGCTTCTGCCTGTACTGAAGCCCTAGGAAAACCATCTAACAGCCAGTGCTGTTCTCGCCTATTCTCCAGCTCCCACATCATTAGGCGTGTGATCACATGATCCGGAACAAAAGACCTTTCTGGATGTACTGCTTCGCCATATTACCAACTTCGTTTTCGCTTGGATGTTTTCTCGCAAGAAGTGGCCGCTGGAGAGATGCTGGAAGCCGAAGTTCTGGGCGGTCATCTGGCACACAGTGCCCTTGACCGCGTGCAGGGGTTTGGAAGCCATTGCTTTGGCAAGGAGGGGGACAGCAGTCCCGGACGGGGCCTCGGGAACTTTGCTGCTTCCGCCGCGGTGCCGATCACCTAGATTTGTGCATGGATTTGCCAGCCACCCTGCAGCGGGAATGAGAGACTTCGGAGACAGCCCTAATATTGTTGTTGTTAAGTGCCGTGGAGTCATAGGCGACTCAGAGCGACCCTATGAATGAAAGTCCTCCACATCGCGTGACTTTCATCCTTTCTCCAGGTTCATAGGGTTTCCGGAGGCAAGCTGTTTATGGGAGTGAAAGAATATATCAAGCAAAAAACCACACCACCTGCCGTCCAGTCGATTCTGACTGAGAACGATCCCATGTGGTGCAAAACGGAAACTATCAGCTGTGACCTCTTAGAAGCGGATTGCTCGGTATGTGATTTGATGTAGCTCTGAAATTCAAACTGTCTGTTCCACTCCTGTAGGGACTACTGTAGATGGTTCCTATATTCTTTGCCTCCAAGTCAAGTCTGACTCAGTGGCCCAACAGGACAGAGTTGGACTGTCTCACAGGATTCTCAAGACTGCCTTGTCATTTCCTCCCTGGAGCACCTGATGGGTTCCAACCACTCACCCTTCAGCTGGCAGCCCATTGCTTGACCATTGTGCTACCAGGGTTCCTTCACAGAGGATGCCATGTCAAGTAGTCAAAAATACAACAGCGAGAGGCAAGCAGGGAACAGGGAAAGTGGAGGGCATTGTCATGCGAACAAGAGTAAATTCCAACTTGGAGGGAGAGGTGACAGTCTATGCCAGTAAGAGTCACCCCTTCAGGGTCACAGGGTCCCCCAAGCTGCACTGCGGAGGACGAGCAGCTTCCTCCTGTTAACACAGGCACGAGGGTCGCTAGGAGTCAGAACTCACTCCTGGCACTGAGCTTTTAGACTCTTTAAGGTAAAGGGCCATGGTGGTGCACTGGTTAAAGCACAGGATTGCTAACGATCTGGTCAATAGGGAAAGCTGAGGCAGTCTGCCTTCCTAAAGACTGGGAATTTTCTAGAGATTTGATGTTCTAAAATATGGAGTTCTGCTCTGGTCTGGAGGGTCGCTGTTAATAGGACCTGATTTGATGGAAGCAGTGGTTTTGGTGTTTTGTTTTAATCTTTAAGGCTGAAGACTACCACGGCACACGGCACTCTCCTGCAGAGCCTCTGGTGAATTTCAAAACCCATTTCTTACCAGTTTGCTTACCAGTCAAGTACTTAACCACCGCACCATCTCTAGGAGAGGATTCCCATCATGGAGATGTTATTGATATGTGCTGTTAGAGTTTGAACTCATAGCTGACCCTCCAGTGGGTTTTCAGAGGCTGTCAACTGCACAGGAGCAATCTGTCCATCTTAGAAGGTAGTTTTTAGCTCTGGTGGCCTAGTGGCAAGAAGCTGTGCTGCAATCTCTAAGACGCATGGTTTGAATCCACCAGATGCTCTGCCGGAGTAGGAGGGCAATCTCCTCCTTAGCCAGTCAGATACGATTTGACGGCACACAACAAATAAAAAAAAAAAGTACTTTTTTAAAATGGCATTTAGAAAAAAAAAATTAAAAAAAAAATAAAATGGCATTTAGAGAAGGACTCATCAAGAATAGAACTTGCAGACAGAGAACCAAAAACTATCTGGAGTGAGTGTGTGTGTGTGTGTGTGTGTGTGTGTGTGTGCATCCTGTGGATAAGTCCACGGTGTGTGTGGGGCGTGTAAGAGAGACCATCGCGTGTATAATTCCGTGTGTGTGTGTGTGTGTGTGTGTGTGTGTGAGAGAGAGAGAGAGAGAGAGAGAGAGCCAGCGAGCCAGCGAATGAGCAACCATCCCGTCAATAACTCCACAGTGTGCGTTTTAGTAGGGGGAGTAGGGCAGGCTAGTGGTGGGCCAGAGACTAGGTCCCCCTCCTCTGTCTAGTGTGCTTTCCTTGATTTAGCCCTGAAACTGCCTCAGACTTGAGGTTTAAATCAGCATGAACTTCTGGGAAGGTAGGAATCAAGGGAAACTCCAGGCTGGAGTCTTTTTTCCAGGAAGATCAAGAAGCTCAACTGAAAAATCGTGCTACCGCCTCATTCAAACTCACTGCTGTCCAATCAGGACCCAGTCAGCTGATTCTCTGTTGGTTTTCTAAGGCTGTAAATCCCACGGGAAGAAACTGCCCACCTTTCTCCTGTGGATCCACAGGTGAATCAGAACTGCCAGAGAGGAGTGACCTTTAGGTGAGCAGTGTACCTCCCCTGCTGGTAGGGCCCTCAGAGATCCCCCATGGCCTCATTCAACAAAACACAGCTCACACTCACTCTGAGTTAGAATGACTCATGGTTGACCCTCCAGGGTTTTCAGAGGCTGTAAATCTCCAGGGGTGGGGGTGGGGGATGGAGGAGATTGTTTATCTGTCTCAGGTGAAGTAGTTGTTGAATTCAAAGCGAAAGCCTTTGGGTTGGCAGCGGCAATTCTTTACCTCCAGGCCACATTAACTGTGAAAGTTCCCCAATGGGACTCTGTAGCACAGGCAGCTGAGGCTGTGGTCCAAATGCACCACAGAGAGTTGTGTTGCCTTGGGCAAGGCTGCGCTTTCAGCCGACACTGTTATTTCACCTGTAAAATGGGCTAATTGTCATCACTGACTCATAGCAAATGAGATCATGCAAAACTTCTTTTATATATCATTATCATTTACAAATGGAAAAGTAGTGCTGACTTCATTTACACCCCAGTTTGAGACTCATTTTTTTTTTTAAGCCCCAAATGCGGATTACCTCGAAGCAGTCTGGGAGGCGCGAGGCCGAGCTTCGCGCTCCGACTGCCTGAGGTGAGCGGCGGCGCGGACCCCGGCACGGGCGGGGCGAGCGGCAGCACCCGGGCCTGGGCGGAGCCGGCCTCGCGCTCGCTCCGCCTGCTGCCCGGGTTCCCGGCCCCGCGCTCTTCCTCCGACAGCTGCTCGGGGAGCCCAGCTCGTCGTGTCTCGTCCTCCCGCATCCGTCCCGCCCGCCGCCGCGCCATGGCCAGCGAGACTACCCAGCAGATAGTCCTCCAGGGCCCGGGACCCTGGGGCTTCCGCCTTATAGGGGGAAAGGACTTCGATCAGCCGCTCACCATTTCTCGGGTAAGAGCCGCCTGGGACGCGGGCGACAACGGGACGCTCCTGGGCCAGGAGAGGGGCGCACCGGCATCCTAGAGAGGCTGAGTCCCCGCGCGCGGCCCGATGGAGCGGGAACCGGGCGGCGGGTCTAGGTGCGCCGTGCGCGCCGTGCGCTCTGCGTCCCGCGCGTCTCCTCCGCCCGCTCCCGCCGCCCAGTTCCCCGTGCTGCGTCCTGGTTCCCCGGGCGGCCGTGCGCGCACTTGGCGGCCGCGGCGAGAAAGCCGAGCGCAGTTTTCACTCCTCCACCCCGGAGGCGCGTCGCGCGCGTAGACGGGCTTTGTGGATCCGCGAGGACGAGACGGTCACCGCCGCTCGGTCGTGCCAGCCGTTGGAATTTACCCGTTCTTATCAAGACTTGGGGTGGCAGAAAGTGGAAGGAGCGGGGAAAGGCTGTAGAGTGAGCAGCGCTGTGTTGGAGTGGCGGTGAAAATACACGGAAAGTTAACTGAGAGGCGGTTGGACTTGCCAAAAATCTCGAATTCGTTCCTCACTCTTGAGACTCTTGAGCAGAGTATTGGACACAAATCCCAAATAATCTTGGTCATTCTTTCTTGCGGGTTTTGACCGATCCTTCTTTCGTCCAGGCATTTCCGGATTATCATCCTATCCGCCGTTTTCCCCCCAGGGGATGAGTGAGTTGGTACTGGGTGGGGTGGAATTGTCACCCTTTGTGTGTTTGGATTTTCGGGTGTGGAAAAACATAGAGCCCTCATCAGTTTGGAAGGGCTCAAATTAGATCTGGGGCCACCCCCCAGGCCCATCACCCCAAATAAAGTGGAGAGCAGACAGTTTGAATGCACCCGCTACTCTGATGAGAAAGATGGTCGGTTTCTGAAAACCCACTGGAGGGGCAGCTGTGAGTCGATTTTTTTACTTCACAGCACATAATCACAAAAATGCCGTGACAGGGAACTCGTGAGGCTTTAAGTTGACAATCTTTACAGGAGTAGATTGCTAGATCTTCTCATGGGGTGGGATGTATGATAGATGGTGAGGTGAGAGTTTGAACAAACTTTTCTTACAGTGCTCCATCTGAAGTTGTTCAGACAGGAGCTGATGCCCCTTTCTGAGTTGCCAAGTTGAGTGCCTGCACTTACCAGGCATCAGTGACTGCTTTTTGATTGAATAAAGAAAGGGAACAGGGCCTACACACCCCAGGGCGGCCACGCCCTGCCTGAAGGCCTGCATTCCATCTTTGGGTCCTCTGACTTGCAGAAGCAAGGCTCACACTTGCCTCCTGAAATCTAGATAATTCCTCTTCCTGAGTTGTCAGGGAAGGCCTGTATGTAGGGCCTTTTGACTTCAGTCTTTACCTTCAGCAGCTAAATGAGTATGGGAGGAGGTGTAGGAGAAGAATGAGGACCTCTCTTTTTGGCAGCCCCTTTCCGACCCACCTTTCTTTCCAGCTGGGCCTGGCTCAGTTGGTCAGGCTCCTCTATTTCACTCCTCAAATGAGCTCACTCTCTGATTCTTTGTCCTGTCCTGCACACCTTGTTCTGTTGAACTTCTTTGATTATTCTCGCAGGTACACAGCCTTCTCACCCACCAGTTGGTTTCCTCAATTGCAGGCACTGTGCCTTTCCCAAATCTAGATTCCCGCCCCCAGGCCTGGCACGGGGCAGAACCTGACCATGTGGCTTATTAAGAAAATGCTTGCCCTGGGAAGGCCTTGCCTCTGCACAGTGAGACTAGCTTACCTCATAGTCCATTTGCTCCTGCTCTTTGTGTCTATAATTAATCTGTCAGCTCTCTCCACTTGGGAAATTTTTCATGACGTGAATCTTTTTTTTTAAGTAATGGAGGAAGTATGGGCTGTCTATAAAAAGGGCACTTGCTACCTGTCATTTTAGCTATGTTTAAAGAGTTTAAAGAATGCAAGTGATTCTGTGCAGGAACGATGGTATAGCGTGGAAAACAACAGGCTGCAGATGTTTTCGTTTGTACTGCGTATACCCATTTGTTCATCAGCACATGTTTAATGAGCACATACATTGTACTACTGTGCAAAGTCCTACAAACAAAAACAGACCAGTTGCCATTGCAGCTGACTCGGTGGCTCCATGGGGGTCAGCAGAACTGGGGTGCCCCCGCCCCTGTGAACCTTCAGGAGCAGTTTGCTCGGCTTTTCTTCTGATGCTTTTCTGGGTGGGTTTGAAGTGCCAGGCTTGGCTAGCTGCTGAGCATTGCCGTCCCAAAGCCTTATACAGAGCTATCAAACCAAGCCAGATTGCTGTCAAGGCCAGTTCTGACGCAGAGCTACCCTGTGGCACAGAGTGGAACCACTCCACTGGGTTTTCGAGGCTAAAAATCCTAATAGGAGCAGACGGCCTCATCTAAATGGCTGGTGAGCTTGAAACACTGATTCTTCAACACAACCCACTGTGCCCTGAGTGTCTTACAAAACCCTGTTGTGTTGTGTGTTGCCATCAAGTCAGAGCCAGTTCACAGCTGACCCTCCAGCAGATTTTCAGAGGCAGTAAATCACATGGGAGGAAATTGCCCATCTTTCTCCTGTGAAGCATCTGGTGGATTCAGACCACATGCCTTTGGGTTAACAGTGCTACCAACGGTCCCTTCTCCAAAGCCCTAGAGACCCAGGAAACAGAGGGCATGGCTCCATTCTTCCTTCGTGAGGGTAGGACATCTCTTTTTCTCCTTGTGGACCAAGAGGCAAGCAAGCTTATCTGTACAGTACCAGTGCCCCTTGATGGCTTAATGGAAAAGGGAAAGTGATTCAGAGGAGGTGACATTCTCAGGCTTCTCTTCTCATTTCATTGTTCCTTCATGGGTTAAATGTGGGCTAGCTCCTCTCCTGGGAATGGAATGTCTTTGAAAGACCCTGAGTTGAAGGTCCAAGTTCTGGTGCTGGTCTCGTTTCTGCTTCTTATTGTGTCTGTGGTGACCTTTTTGCTTTGAAGATCAACTTCTTTATCTTTGCAGTGGAGATATCACTAGCCCTAGACTGTGATGATTGTGATTTAAGGTACGAGAATGTGCAGTAAACAGTGAGCAATGTTGAGGAAGTATGAATGGTGCCAAGAATTATTCACATCCTCTGATGGTAGGTGTGATGTATTGTGTTTGTTATTCTGGGCAGGTAGTGTGTGCTAGTATAGGTTCTGTGCATAGATTTTGAGTCTCCACACCAAAGCAAACTGTAAAATTAGGTTGGGAGAAGAGTGCTTATCTTGGAGAGGGTGAAACCAGGCTTCTCCTTGGAGGCTAGGAGGTTAGGATTTTGAAGCTCCATCTCACATACTTTGGGCACATGCCCAAGAGAGACTGGTTCTTGGAGAAGAACATCATTCTCGGAAGGGTGGAGGGACAGTGCAGGAGAGGAAGACCCCAGATGAGATGGATTAATCCAGTATCTGGGGCAATGGGGGTTGGCATGTTAGAATTAATGAGACTGGCTCAGGACAGGACAGGATTCAGAGCTGCTGTTATGTGTCACAGGCAACTCAACAGCACATAACAACCACAACAATGATTGCTTTCTCTTGCATAAATTTTTATTAAACTGCTATGGTTTCTGAATATAACTCTCTGATCTTGTGTACTTGAAAGCTTTCTCTTTTAAACTTTTTTCAAATTGTAAAATAAACACAAATACAAACATGCTAGAAAACATAAATGCAGAGGAAATGATTATAAAGCAAACGCTTGTATAATTACCACCCAGCATAAGAAATAGAGCATTGCCAGCCCCTCGGAAGCGGCTAAAACATAAGGAACCAAGCTGTCAATCCAAAGGTACGATGTTCATACCCACCATTTGTTCCGTAGGAAGACGATGGAAATTTCCTCCTGTGCGGTAAGTTGTTATTGTTAGATGCCATCAAGTCGAGCACGACTCATAGTGACCCTGTGAACAAAAGATCTGAAACCAGGCCTGTCCTGCGCCATCCTCACACTTCCTGACATACAAGAACCCATTGCTCAAGAGTCATCTTGTCAGTACACCTGGTTGAGGGTCTTCCTCTCCTTCACTGACCCTCCAGCCTTCCCAACATCATGTCCCTCTCCAAGGAATAGCACCTCCTAGCAATATGTCCAAAGTATGTGAGGCAAAGCCTCATCATTCTTACTTCCTAAGAGCACTCCGGCTGCATCCTCTCCAAGACATATCTATTCATTTTTTTGGCCATCCATGGAATGTTCAGTGCTCTTCTCCAACACCACAGCTCAAAGTCGTTAATTCTTTTTCTGTCATCCTTCATCATTGTGCAGGTCTCGGATGCATAGCTGGTAATCGGAAGGACCTGAATCACACGCACCTTAGTCCTCAAACTGACATCACTACTCCTCAATAATTTGGAAAGTCCCTCGCTGCAGATTTTCCCATTGCAATGCGTCTCCTTATTTTTTGACTGCTTGTACCAAGGGTTTTAATTATTATTATTAAAGTATATACTCCTGTGCGGTTTCCAGCCTCCAAAATCTCAGTGGTGGGTCAGCTATGAGTTAATTCTGACTTGTCGGCATGTAACAACAGCAGCAATAATCTTTGACTAATGGTCATTGTGCCTTGCTTTATAGTTTTGCCACCTAAGTTTATGAACACCGTAGCTTAGCTTTGCTGTGTTTCCAAGCAGAATTGTCTTGTTAGCTGCCGTTGAGACTGCCCTTGAATCATGGTGAGCATGTTTACAGCAGTATAAAACATCGCTTAGTCCTGTACCATCCCATGATGAGTTGTAGATCAGACCATTGTGATTCAGAGGGTCTTCATTGGTTGATTTTCAGGAGTCCGTGGTCGGGCCTTCTTAGTGTGTCTTATTCTAGAAGCTCTGTTGAAAACTGTGCATCGTCATGATAAGAAGCAAGCCTCTACTGACAGACCAGTGCTGGCTGCATGGAAGTCAGACCGGCTGGGAGTGAACCCAGGTCTCCCACATGAAAGGGAAGAACTTTACCACAGAACCACCGCTGACTGCCCTCACTGAAGCTCATAGAGAATGTGG